CGGACGCTAGCGTAACGATTACAGGTGTCACAAACAGAGTATATGTTGTGGCGCGATAGGCTCGGACTGCATCAGTCCACAGACAAAGCATTGCACGGTGGAATTCGGCGGCGGTACTCTCATGCATGGTGTCGGGGCAGAGATCTGTACGCTCGGGCCACGCAGGCATCCGTTGAGTTTCCTGAGTGTCTAGTGTGGCAGTTCGCAGACGTAAAGAGTGGTCTGCGGCGCTGGAGCAAGTCGGAAAAGCTGATGCTGGTACCTGGAGGGCGGGGATATATGCTGCGACAATAACGAGGATGCATGGTACGGTGTTACAAAACATGCGCCGTGTTTCTTCTGCAACGCTGCATTCATCGACCCAGAGAAAATTTGTAACTTGCTTGCATACCTGTGATTCATCACCCTGGACTGGGGTGCACTCTCCCACGCCAGTCATAGCCTGAGTCTGCTCGTCAGCGCTCTCGCCAACGTGTTTGGGAAGCATGATCAAAACTTTCTCAGCTTTCTTGTTGCTGTGTTCAGTAGGTAATTTTTTTTTCTTGTTTTGTTTTCTTAGTGTGCCGTTGCTCCCATCACTCATGAGTCTCCCTTGCCCCGTAATTTGACTGGTTCTCTCAACTCTTGTGGCCTCAATGCCATCGGCCAGGGTGAGCGTTGACCCAACCTTTTCTATGGGTATCTGATGTCTCGCAGGCAAAACCTTGTTCGGGCGAGAGGTTATTAAAAGATTCTGCTCCCGTACATACACATGGCCAACCAAAGCCGATACGGAACCCGGACGTACAAATCGTCAGGGCGGTAGTCCAAACCCTGCTGTCAATTGAATGCCCAGGTGTTCGACCGGGGTCGGTCTGGAATGGTGGCGTGGTGCTTGCCGCTCACGGAACAAAGCAAGGCTAACTGAACCAAGAAAAGAGTGGATGAATAGCGTAGCAACATATATGAGACGGCTCTTGTGTCTCTGTAGAAGACACCGTAGCCTGGACATGCCAGTAAAATCCAGTTTATTCCATGTGTCTTGATGCTGCTGCAATTATCCGGTGACTGTGTCGTCTGTAGCAACGATGATTTATTAACAGCAGTTGGCTCTGTTTCTTTGGCATTGGGATGGTTCTCTGGCTGCATTGCGTCGTCAGAGGTGTCAAGAGATGTTGATCAGATTTGAATGTACATACCCATTTGCGACACAGTGAGCTAGAGCGCTTAGCGGCGTGACGGTATTTCTCTCCCTCCCTCCCCTTCTCCCTTTCTCCTTTTGGCCAGCCCGAGGAGATGATCATTGCGGGTTAACGGCGAGGACTTTGTGTTGCCTCCTCGTACAGACGACTGTACTCCCAAAGTAGCCCTCCGATTTCAAGTTTTACCGGTTCGACGATGGAATTGAGAAGCTCCTTACACCTGCTCGCAAGATGCCACGATTGTTCAAGGAGAACCATGTTTTGACGGGAAGCGTCGTCTTGTTCTTCGCTTACTTTCAATTCAATCTTCAGGTACCTTGACACCGGAAAACGGTCATTTCCATCTCCGTCTTCCACAATTCAACCACCTGTGCAGCCACAATCAAGAAGAATACACAGGAACCGTCTTCTGCGGTTGAAGTGGTATTCTCCAAGCTAACAAACCGAAGTCTGCATATCAAGTTAGAGCTCGTCAGATTGCTGATGTGCTGTACGCTTGGTGAATGGCAAAAGCGCAGATGTAAGGGTTGTTTGCAGAGAACCTCCCGAGCCTCCATGGAAATCTGGCGACAGACCAGTAGGATTGAAGGCGTCTGAGGAAGGTACCTATCGCACGACCGTTGTCCGTTCGCAACGAGGCTCTCAAAGCCTGCAAAATCAAGGACTCATCGGTAAATTTCGTCTCGGAGTTCCCGTGGGAGCTTGAGAAATGGAAACTTGGACCGAGCCTGAGAGCGCAAGGTCATCGAGTGTGATGATCCGGGCCTCTTGTTGCTCAGTGCTAGCCTTGTCTGAGCCACCAACCATGGAGGCCTGGCACCTGTCTTGGTAACCCAATTTGAGCTGGCACCCGGAAAAATCTCCTCTTCGACCATCTTGCCCAAAAGTGGTGCTCTCATCCACACCTCCTTCGACCACCAAGGCGTCTCCTTGTCCTCGGTAGTATAAGTCGAGGCAGGCATTCTGGAAGGCGAGTGCGGAAGGAAAAAGGCGTATATGCGAGCACACAGTTCGCCAGGGGCACAATTCTCGACGAACTCGAGCTTTTCAGGGTGAGATATCCACCAATCACCCGTTGTATCGAATAGCGAGTCTCTTTTGGATCGAAATGGAGGGCGAACTTGGTGTCACAAACGTTGAAGGAACGGTACGCGTAATAGTTGAGCATCTATAGCATATTGTTAAGCTATCTCTCCGAACTGTTGGATGATACTTAGGGTAAGCATACCTCCCAAGAGCAAGCAGGTACCACAATACCATCAGAAGGATGTTTCTCGATAAAATAGCGCACCAAAGGGTCGTTTTCGCTGCTGGGGGCACCAAGGCAAGGGGCCAAAATCTCGATATGAGAAATTGGGGGTACATGTTTGGCGGCCATGTTTGTTGCGCCCGAGTGTAGAGTTCGTTGAGCAGAACGTTCGAACTCACGGTCTGATTTGTTTTGGCACTGCGCGCTTCCGTGCGAGTCAGTTGAGATCCTCCGTGCCGAGAAGCAGAGAAAATATCTAGACAGCACGCCTGAAAATGAGTGGTTGTGGAAATTGGCGAATAGTGTGTCGAGGCCGTGATGAACACACCGGTGCGTTTACTGGCGCAGCTGCCAAGCGTAGAAGGTTGTGTGCAAGCTTCTCGGTCTAGCTGCGCAGCTTTACCGAACCGAGTCTTGCCAGACCTAGGCGTTGTGCAAGTGGATACTGAAGGAATGACGATGCTCGCGGCGTTGGATTGTGAGCCTCCAGTAGCTGATCTGACAGGCCTGAATGGATGGCGACAGTGCGGTGGTGGTGGCAGAAGGGTCAAAGTGGATGGAAGGATGATTTGGGACGAACTGCTTCCCAGCAAAGTCACCCAATGATGAGGCGCGGTATGCCAAGAGACAAGACAAGCCATGGATACCAATCAACGATGAACGCCAAGGACGACATGCATGGCCAGGGGCGCGCGCCGTGAACTGGTCTGGCTATGGCGGCCCATTCAGCCTTGGCGCGCCCCTCGCGTTCGTCGCGTCCTGAGCATCCGCAGCTGCCAGCAACCTCTACGCAATTCCATCAGCCAAATTGCAACTCCAGACAGGATATGGCCCATTACGCCGTGATCCTACAGGCATAGCCTACGCGCAGGTATAGGTGTTTTCGCCTCGTTTCAGACGGTCTAGTCCAACCCGCTTCTCCCTTTTCTCCCAAACACGCGACGATGTGTCGGCAATTGTGCCAAAACGCTGCGTCTGTGCCATCCTGCCGCTTACATGCCCGATTTCCCTTTCCCCCGTCGATGCGGATTTTAATGGCTGTGCTGGCAAACTAACGCTCACTGTCGAGGGATGATTGGGCTTAGGTACTCTGGGTCTATCGTTTTGCAACCTTCGATTTCGACTCTATATGATGCCGCGTATCTCACCTGCAACTCGTTCTCTATTACCTCATAGAAATATGCCAATTTGATTGTCAGCGATGTGGCTCACTGCGTCTGAACAAATCATTCCATATCTCGTATCTTGATGCTAGCCACTGACGCGCGCGGCGCAGACCAGATGTGCAGTCCAGAAGAAATGACTTAAATGAGGTCAAAACATCCACGGAAAGACACTCACCAAATCCAGAGGAAAGACGGTCGCGTAAAGTCGGCGTACAAAAGCGAATGGCCACGGCTGGTGCCAGCCCTCGCGTGACGAGGAATTTCCTCTGATGAATTTCCTGGCATCCGTGGCGACATGGGGGAGCGAGGCCTAGAGCACTGGCTTACCCCGAAGTTCGCCCTATCACCTGATCTCCAGATTCTCTGTAGTGTGGACCTGGTCGAAAGTCGAAAATTGGGACGTTTCGTATATTTCTGAAGAATGGAGCAGAAGCCAGGGACTAGCGGACTGGGTAACCGGTCGATGCACTAAAGCAGCGATGGATGACGGAAGTGCGGGCGGTTAAGGTTGTTATTCACTTCTTGAATTCTACTGTGCAAATGTTCAGCTGGCTTAGGGCTGGTAAGGTAGTACAGACGCCGCATGATAAGTAAACGGAGTCGGGTTGAGAGATGAGGCAAGACAACACCGAATGAAAGGCTCGACAATTTATATGTGATGGCTCTTACGCCTCTATAGAGGGCGTCGTAGCCTAGGTAGATTAGTCCAATCCATACAATTCTCCTATATTTTAGGCTATCTATCCTCACCTGTCCACCTTTGCTATGCCTCATTACCTCCTATACACCCAAACGTTGATATCAACTTGCTTGACAAACCAGTAATTAATTTCCTTCCATTCTGCTTTTGGATCGACAAGCTCGATGCGGAAAGAGCGAAGGAACTGTGGAAGAAACTTCCACATTTCCACAGCAGCAACCTACCCCACATCCGGAAGTTAGCACCTATACATAGAGAAAGAGTTTCGTATAACGCACATTCTTTCCAATGCACTGACGTGTACCCTGTCCGAATTGGAACATGTGTCTGTCCATTTCCTTCGCCTCGGAGCGGAACCAGCGATCAGGGTTGAAGTCGTCCGCATCCTCGCCAAAGATCGATTTTACAAAGTGGAATGTAGCTGGATTCACGCCAACGCGGTACTGCGACTGTCAGCATCATCTTTTCTGGAATTTACGACGAGGCAGCTTACTCCAGCCGGGATATAATGACCGCAGAGCTCGCGACCACCCTCGGGGACGTGACGCGGGAACGTGAGAGCAATTGGTGGGAACACACGCATGGCCTCCTTGCAGACTGCAGACAAATAAGGCATCCTCGAAGCCTCGGCGTACGTGACGATTGGGCTGAGCTTGCCCTCGGCTTCATGTCGATCGATCTCACCCTGCAGCTTCGTGTAGGTGTCGGGATTCTTGCAAAGGTTGTACAGCGCAGAGCGGATAGCAATGGCAGTAGTATCGCTGCCAGCAAAGATGGCCGTGTACGACTCAGTGTACACATCCGTGATATCGAAGTCTGGAGACTTTTCCCGGCTTACTTCCAACAGCTTTTCGAGCATATCCGGCCGGCCTTTGCCCGATTCGACACGCTCGTCTACCAGCTTCTTCGACACTGCGGTCAAAGAATTGAACACTGATACGCCGTGCCTGAATGTCGCTGAAAACGGTAACATAAGGATCTGCAGCGGCCACAGGACCTTTGGAAGCACTGCCATACGGATAGCGTGCGGTAGGATGATGTCCACAGCGGCGATGTAGCCTCCGATATCTTTACTTTCGCGTAGGAATCCAAACGCACGGCCGAAGAACAACTCGCCGATAACGTCAAACGTATACCTGTGAGCCCGTCAGCCCTCTGCGTTTGAGTTATCTAGGGAGTAGCCCACCAATGCACCCACTCAGAGATGTCAAATGCATCACCTCTGTCGGCGAGCTCTCCCATGCGCTGCATGAACAGCTCGATGACAGGATCCACGTATTTTTCGTTTTCCAGAACCGTCTTAAAGGCGAATATGTGCTGGATCATGCGGCGACGGAACGTGTGCCTCTTCTCGTCCAGCTGCGTGAAGCTGTCGGCGTGCGGAGAGAGATTTGGTGCCTGGGTGAGGTAGAAATCCGTCTTGGTGAAGCCACCGTTGACAGCGTAGATTTCCTTCCAGGCTTGAGGATCGCACACGGAGCACTCGTTGGGAGCAATTCTCACGATAGGCCCTTTTCCGAATCGTTAGCGAAGGCGAAAGCAGGCGCCAAATAGAAAGTCCCGACCATATCGATCATGCAATTTTTTTGTGTAGCGGTGCATGTCCTCCGCATTGATCTTCCGCAAATACCATAGCCGCGAGATAGAAGCCCAGAAAGGGCCCGGAATCTGGGAGAGGGGGGAGAGGAATCTTTGATAGACGATCCAGCCGAGGCAAAAGGCAGCGAGCGAAACGGAGCAGAGAGTGGGATAGGAAAAAGAAAAGGTCATTCTGGCTTCACTGGGCATACAAGCCGGAGATAGGCAATGCGGTGAGTGGAACAATGCATTTGGAGCAGCGGCGCTGTCTATGGTTATGTATAACTGTGGGAAAGGTCGATCATTTCCGGATGTATGAAACCAAAGATTACAGCGCCGGATCCGACCGCTGGCGTGACGACGATGGGTTCTTACAGCAAGTGTGACAAGGGTCTTTGGCCGTATTTCGGTGATGTGATAGGCCACGTAGAAACAAGTACGCTGGCGAACATGTGTAGAAGCCATTCGTAAAACTATTAACGCGTGTGCGGGGTCATCCCTACCACGGGCCGGCAGTTCCGACAGCAGTTATCCGCGCCGCACCCACTTTTCCTCAGCTTGGATTGACGTCCGGACGACTCTGTTTTACTATCTACAAACTCTCCGAGTTTGCCTTGGCATTCATCGCCGCTCAAGTGAGGAACCGCAATTGCCTCGTCACAAGCGAGATTGATGAGCACAGTTGATGAGGATCTTACATGTACTGGGCAGGCGGAAAGGATCCAGGGTCCTCGGCCAGTGCGGCACAGCGCTGTGCCACACAACTCAGAAATTATTTTCCTCGCCAATTCAAGTCCTCTGACTCCGTGTTCTTCTATTGGTCCGCATGTGGCGGTGTAAGCACCTTCGCCGCAATTCTTCAGACCAAGAGCGCCCATCTGCGGCACAGCACCCCTTTCTACCGTGTTCCCAGACCTAATGGGAGACGTGCCTCTGACTTGGAATGACGAGGCACCTCTAGGGGTTCTCTCAGAGGCATAGTGTGCTCGTGGTTGAGAGCAGATGCTGAGATCATATGAAACCTGGCCTGCTACTGCTTTCTGCGAGACCCACTGTTGGACCGACTTACTCGTGGTACTGGACTTGGTACCAAGGCTATCGCTTGGTCTGAGTTGATGCCGCGCTCTTAAATAGGCTCTCGTCCCTGTGGCGCTGAACAAGCTTAGTAGCAGTACCTAGTAACTCGACAGAATGGCATCCGAAAACCATTCATACTTTGCCATATGGTGCTATGTGGCATACGCCTTTGGTACGTTCGTTGTTCTTCTGCGGTGAGTGCAGCACAACTCTCCCGGAATCCCACATCTTGACAGCATTCAGGCTCTACACGAGGCTCTTTGTCGTCACCAGCCTAGGTGTCGACGACTACTTTATTATCGCTGCAACGATATGTTCAACTGGAATCACTGCCTGCATTCCGTTCATGTTCAGTCTTGGAATTGGCAAGCACATCGCTGATCTGACTACATACGAGGTCAATCATGGCAGAAAAGTAAGCGAATGCCTTCTTTGTGATTTCCTTCAGCCACTAACGACTGCGAAGTGGGCGTGGTGTACTCAGATCATCTATTACTTAGCACTGGGGTAAGTGAGGCCAAGAAAGCGGCTTCTCGCGACTGACCTTTCGACAGCCTCATCAAGACCAGCATCGTCTGTTTGTATCTGCGCATTGCCTCCCATCCGGCACATATCAAGTTTCTACATATCCTAGGAGCCCTCATCTTCCTCCATGGGGTTGCATCTACTTTTGTAGGCTACACGTCCATCCTCTATCTTTTTTTTTTTTTTTTTCACAAACTAATAGTCACCCAGGCCACATTGGGCATGTGCATGCCCATGTCAATTGTGTGGAGCAGCACGTTCCCAGTGGGCTGCATTGACCTCCTCTCCTTCAACTACTTCAACGCCGCATTTCATATACTGACCGACATGGTCCTCGCACTTTTGCCAATTCCAGTGTTGAATAACCTGCAGATCGAGCAGGCGCAAAGAAGTGAGTGAGCTCTCTCCGTTTGTCTTAATATACTGACCGATATCTCATAAACTCAGGAGGCCTTGTTGTTATCTTCGGCGTGATCATCCTTGCTGTTGCCGGTACCATTGCTCGGCAAGTCACAAATGCCATTGCGCTTAATGCAGGCGCCGAATTCAGCTACGAATGGGCAGCTGCCGAGCTGTGCACATGCATTGAGGTCAACATGGGGCTGATCTGTGTCTCCGTACCAGCGTTGCAGCCGCTGTTCAAGAGCACGTTCAGGAGCTGGTCCAGCCTGAAGCGGTCACGAGATGACTCCGGAAGTGGCGTACCATATTTCAGAGGCACGGGTAACCTCCGCCGACTGAGTAGTGGCATGGGTGACGAAGTTGAAGGGTCGCCAAAGATACGTGGGACAAGAGTGACGCACACACCGGCTAAGTGGTGCAGTGAGAGCGAAGAGAACATCTTCCTGGAAGGAATTCATACGCAATCAAGCACACAGCAGGGACGAGGACATATGTGTGACAACTAATATCATCGCACTGTCGCAGCGGGCACAAGCCTGAGAGGGAAGTGTGCGTACAAGGAGCGGTTTTGGCATTATTATGCTCTCTGGTACTTCTACCAAGAGCTTCAAATACGTCGAGCGAGCCGAAGGGACGTCAAGAGCAAGTAGTACTCCATGGTTGTCGAACAGCTGGTATACGGTAGAGGTGATTTTCGTCTACGCATCCAAACGTATGTGGGCTAGTCAGGGTAGAATTGGTCTACTTAGCCTACGATATCTTTTGTGGAGGTATAAGAGCCAACCGTGTATCTCCAGGCAGGATCGCTGCTTCGGTTTCGATTACAGGTGAATCCACCGTCCTGAACGCTCCAACCTCGTGCTTCCCGCAATTCTCCCCGCGTGGCCTTAAACCGGACTTTCTGATCGAAGACGGCATCCAGAATCTCTGCTTTTGCCTTTCAGTGAACTAGCCTCTCTTCCTAAACGGCTATCGGCTGATCAGCTCACCTCTGATCGTTCCGCATGAAGTGAATGAGCGTCATCTTCTGTGCATCGACCGTCGCGCCGCTTGTCGCTTCCCACTCTTCGGCTTGAGCCACCATTGTTCTTTGATGCCTCGCAACCTTCTCGCTTGCGGGAGGGCCGGAAACCAAAGCGCTGCAGTCGTCAATGAACACGGCAGCTCCTTTGTTCTTATTAACCATGGATGGCGCCAATTCGGCGTTGAATAATAGGAACAGTATCGGTGAGAGAGGTCATCCCTGCGGAAGCCCTGCTTGTGGTGTCCATGGCGCTTGAGGTTTTACCGTCTACCACTACCGAAGTACTCCTGTTGGAGTAAAAAACCTTCACCAATTTGAGTAGCATTTACGGCACCCTTCTTTGTCGGAGCCGCTGGAGGAGCACGTCTCGCGCAACGCCGTTGTAGGCTCCTTTGACGTCAAATGGCAGGAGCAAGATACATTTGCCCTCGCGCGACACCTCGTAGATTCGTTGCCGGAGGACTGTTAGCGCCTGCACCATGGACCGATTCTCTCTACCGCTAAAGTAGTTCGTAACGTTATATGTTCGCCCTTCGAAACATAGCAGGGGATAGTCTACCATAGTCACGTGATTAAAAATCCCAGCTCCTGCGGTGCAGGAGGAAGCTAAGCCCGGCACTTGAGTATATTACCGTGGTCCCTGCATTGCTAAGGGCAATATTGCGCTCACCTACCATCGCTTACCATCTCTTGTATTCTCTTCCGTTATCAGCTTTCCCTCAATATGCTTCGGGATAGCGGAGAGGATCTGCCGGTTTGGGACAGCTCTCACCTGGACCTGCACTTCTGCTTGTCTTCATTCACCTTGCTGTCTCTATTGCCCGCTGTCAGCCCTCGCCTATCTCACCGACCTCAAACTCTCCCTCCTCACCCTTCCCGCTTGGCCTCCTTGCCTTCAAGTTATATTGCCATTTCCCACACGCTCACACCTATAATTTCGCCCTCTCAAGCTCTACCGAAGACCTCGTCTTCTTCAAAGATGCCATGGATGACAGTATCTCCATTGTGAGTTCTCGTCAAAATTTCACGGTGGGGTTATCGATCTCGTCAGGAACTGGCATTCGAGCTCAGACGGGAATTCTGCAAGAGAAGCGTCAGAACTGCCAGCCTTAGTAGATACAGCGTAATACAATCTAACCAGCCATCGAGAATGCCGCAAGTGAATGAAGTATTTCGCTTACACAAAAGCATCCGCAACAGTCAATCTTAATGCAGGGGTATCAAACAACATGAAAGACGAACACTAAAACAAGACCTTTTCCACCACAATTCTCTGCTCCAGTGAAGTGGGAACTCACGATCCTCTCAACACGTTCGGGTCTTTTCGTGCTTCTCGAAGTATTTCCGTCATACGTGAATACAGCTTCGGCTCTTTCTGTTTCCATTTTCCGCCGTTCGGGAAGACCGCCTTCCGCAACTGTTCGATCCAAGGTACGAATGGTCGATAATACTCAGTGAAGTGATCCCCTATCGTTTTGCAAAATATGCTGTCATCTGCAACAACGCCCAATTTCATACCCGCAAGCTCTTCTGTGTTCATGTAGTTCCACTTGTCAAACCGCTCCACCACTCTCCCCTTACCCGGCCCTTCGTAGTGGATACAAATCCAGAAGAGAACCCAGAAGAATGACTCGAGATCGTGCATAAACGAGTGTTTCTCCCCTAGCAGCACTCCGATTGCCATGAACGCCAGCGTGCCGGTCTTGCCCTGGGCTCCCGAAGCAGCCTCCCTCTCCTCATCGATCGCGAGATCGAGATCAATCAAAAACGCTTTCCAGGATGGGTTGCTACTTTCCTCGTTGACCATGAGGTTGTTCGCTGAGATATCGCGCTGGAGCATGCCAGCCTCGTGCAGGGACCGGTGCCCCTCGATGCATCCCCCCATCGCAGTGAGCAGGGCGGCTCGAGAACTCGCCTTGTAGATAGGCTTTCCATAGTCACGGACGATCACACGACGATGTACACGGTTCTTCGGGAGCTTGCCTCTTACTATTTGCTGTGAATCGGTGCAGATCCGTTTCTTGACCCGCTCTGATGCGCCGATGTCGCTGGATGGCCTCTTTTGCCCCGCTGAGCTGGTGCTGCGGGTGCTTCGCACGGTCCCGGACGTGCTCGGAGGTGGCATGGAGTCGCTCGGCCGGTAATTGCTCGCCCCCGCAACGTCCAGCCCTTTGCGGATGCTGCTGTAGACATCGTCCTCCACGCCGGCCACGTGGACTGTCTCGTGGTGATAGTGCCTCGCCACATTGATGACCTTTTTCTTCGTTGCCTTCTCTAACAACACACCCTCTTCGTCGCGCTCGGGATACTGCCACGAATCTTTGATTACATACGGCCTCCGTGACTTGTCCCCTTGGCGATACGCCTTCCAGCAGACCGTCCCCCGGCTGGCAACGCCCGAGGGCCGCTTGATGACTTCGTCTAGAACCAGGCGCTCCGTCTTGTTGTTGCGCTTGATTTCGATCCACCGCTCGCCGTTTGCTTCCTGGATGGTCGGATCAAATCCGAGCTGCTCTTTGTCCATCATGAGGTACCCGATGATCACCGAGACAAATCGCAGGCCGTCGTTGTTGATGTCAAATTGCTCCGACGCGACACCCCCGAGTCGGTCGAATTCCCACAGCCGCATGATGGACCCACACAGCGTGAAGCCAAAGACGAAGCGCCGGGTGTCCTGGGCAGCGAAGACCTCTCTCGCGTATCTGGCGAGGTCGCGCCAGGTTCCCGAGCTCCTGTCCAGATTCTTGTTGCTCTTCAGCTCTCCCACGACGAGAATCTGGGACCAGCAAGGCCGTCCGCACGCTGCGGTATCCGCGAAACTGAGATCCATCTTTCTTTCTGCTACGGATCCTTCCAAAGGCAAGTCCGGCCGCGCCAGTGTTCCGCGTTGGATGTTGCGGGCTGAACAGTGTTTTTCCGCGAGTGTTTTCAGCTGGTCTACCAGCCCTGTAAACCACCCCACCACGTTGTTCTGCGTCGGGCTCTCCGGCCAACCACTCCAGCCACGGTCTGTCGTGTACAGCGCATTTTTTCCCTTCCTACATTTTTGAAAGACCGTATCAGCCGTCTGCTGGAGGCTTGCAACTTTCCCGAAGAGCGTCTCGAAGAAGTTCGGCACCCCGACGAATAAGGCACCATCCAGCTCAGCCTTGAGCACATCGTCAAAGTATTTCCTGTGTTCCGAGGAGTCGATAATGCTGCTTGTGGCGCGCGTGTTCGGGGTCTGCTTGATTGAATGGGTGGCGGATGCGGCGGATTTGGGAGGCGTCACCGGCTGCGCGGTTAGAAGGGGAGATGTCGGAGTGATGATCGAAGCTTGGGGTTGCGTCTGGCGGACGAGGTCGTACACAGTCGTCCATATTGTCGGATCGTCCTCCCCAGCTACAACGTCTCTCACAAGCTGAGCGGTGTGCTTGATATCCGTTTCGTTTGACAACAGCCGTGCGTACAGGTGGTATAAAGCGCTACCCAAGAGGCTTCCATCGACGGAAGTGAGTTGGGCAGCAGCAGGAAGTAGCTGGAGAGCACCTATGAGTTTCAGGACAAGGCTCTTCCTTGCTGCGTTCATCAGCGTACGTTATTCATTGGAAGGTTGTTACTCACCCGGCTGCATGACCAACTGCTGGAAATGGTCTAATCCACCTCGGGTACTTGTGCGAGGATGAGTTGATTCGAATGCACTTCGGAATGAGTCGAGCGCATCATCGATTGGGTAGCCTTCGATAGTGGCAAGCTGGCTCTCTGAAAGTTGTGCCATCGCAGCGAACCTCGGCTGCTTGACCGAGCGATGCCGCAGGGCACCGAATGAGTTGAAAGAGGTCTTGAGGGTGTGACTGAAATGTGTCCTGTCGTCAGAAGAGCGAGTCGTAGCGTGTCGGTAGAGAGGCGCCTGTTGTGGAGATGCAGAGGGGCGCGTCATCGCGTTTCACCTGGGGATCTCTCGGGATAACATCGGCTCAACGAGTTGGCGATGCGGCAACTGCGTGACAAATTTGAGCCAACGTAGATTCGCCGGCATCTAGCTAAATAGCCTAGAGCATGCCCTGTGGTGTGCTACGCTACTTAGTGCCTTCTCATTCTAATTACGGACGGCTTCTAACAGCCCAGTTGACATTCTCGCTTACAGGTTCTGGCTCCCCATGTTCGTGCTGTTGTTACGTGAACGGATCAGTGCCAAGAAACTCGGATGCCTGCCGGAAGTATTCGGATGGTGAATCTCTATTGCATGGTGGTCCCTGCTGTGCATCACTTGACTGAGAACTGAGAATGTTGTAAAATTGGTTGGAAAGGAAGTATGCAGCATTTTACTAAATAATAGTGGGAATACACTGTAGTTTTCTGGGACAGGCGGAAATCTCCAGCCTCAAAGCACCGCTCGGTCATTTCCGACGTCTGCTTTCTTCGTTTTCATATACCCAGGAAATTGTCCAAAGGGAGAGCAACAATAAACCATCATTTCATTATCCCTGACAAGCTGCTGGCCGGGCAAGCAATAGTAATCAGATCGGGTATTACGAAAGAAAATAAAAAGTGATCTACAGCGGCAACGATGAAGGCACCCCGACAACAACCGGTCCGTCAGCCGGCTACGCGCCAAACACCTCCAGCTCCTTCTCCATCTCCTCCTCATCCAACTGCCGTCTCCTCGCGCGCTCCTTCCACAAGTTTCTCATATCATCCCTCAAGCAAATACCCCTCCCCTTCAACTCACCCACCCGCTCCGTCCTCGCCCTCTCCACCCCGTCCTGGAACTCCACGCCTGAGCGCAACGCACGACATCGACTCTCAGCGCTCAGTAGCCGCCCAGCGAGGCCCTCTATTTTTGCCTTCGTTGCCGTCACGTCATCCTTCACGCCATTCGACTTGCCGGACAGCCACTGTAGCGTCATGCACTCCTGCGCTTGACACCGGACGTGTTCGTCATAGAGTGACGCTATTTCTTGCTGCTTGTCTAGCAAGCGCTGCAGAGGCTCTAGAGCCACGTCAAGTTCTTGTTTCGCGGCATTGGCTGCGTCTTGGGCAGACCGGAGGACCTGGCGCACGGCGGTGAAATCAGACCCGCGCTGGAGTTTTTGGAGCTCCTTTTTCACTGCATTGACTGCTGTCTTCAGCTTCCCTTCGTACGCTTGAATGTCCTCCTCAGAACAGGCCTGGTTGCACGCCTCGTGCGAGCCAACAATACAGCTCTCTGAGGATGGCGTCGTCTGCGAGATATCGATGGCGTCTGGGTGCGATACGTCGTCGTCGGCTAGTGGAAGGAGGAGATGTTGCAACAGGCCACGCCAGAAGACGCTGTCGATGTTCTCCGGTTGCGAAAGGCCAGCCACGTGATGGATGGCGGTCACAACCACATGAAGGCCGCAGTCATAGCTATTCTTCTGGACGCCGCACGACCCGCCTGTGTAGGACCAATCCTTTTGGGAAAGGGTCGGTGAGATGAAATCAGCTCATCGAGCAGGTGCGTGACATCTGCTGGAACTGTATTCCCACCGGCAATAGAGTCAAAATATACCGCCTCGCCAGCGTCGAGATCTAGCGAAACGACGACCCAGTGGTTTTGATTGCGATGGAGGGGTAGCACGACGTAGCGATGGTTCTCTTGGAAGCGCAGTGGCTTCTTGCAATGGATCTTGGCCGGATCAGAGAGCTCTATCACCGTGTTGTCCAAAACGCGGACGTTGCTTGGCGACAAGACCACAAGACTCCAGTTTATAGCTGAGGCGGAGAGCCATTGACCAGGTTGGAGGCTTTGAATGGCCCCGAGCACGTCACTGCTCGGAACGGCCGCCGTGGGGTCCTCGGCTGGTGAGACGTTTCGACGACTGCTCGTGGAGGATGTGATATGGCTCGCTGCTGTATCATCTGGTGGAGACGTCAGGTCGATCACACTAGCTTTGTCGGTCTTTGTGGAGGTGAATGGAGCATTCGTAGCGTCGCGTGAGGCACAGCCATCCTGTCCTTCTAGCATAGGCTGTGCAGATGAGATGTGTACGTCTTTCGAGCGGCTTGTGGAGGCAAGATTCGCTCCACCAGTAGCAGAGGGCGGAGGGGATTGGCCAACGAGACTACTGTTCTCATCGCCGGTGCCCAACCCGGGGAATGCAAACGTGCTCTCGTCAGCATCTAGTAGCGGCAGTGACTCCGCCATCACGGAGGAAGGTGACCTTTCAAAACGCGAGTGGTCATCCGCGGTGCGAGCGACCTCGATGCTCGGGCTCCGCAAAAGGCGTGTGCGCTGGGGTTGTCTCTTGCTCTAAAAAGCAGTCAGTTTCTTGTGCGCACTGATATCCAGCTTCGATGGTAGACTCGCCTGTCTTCTCTTTTTGTGATAAACAAATGGGCTGCTGTCTGTGTTGCAGGCGCGTTTGAGATGGACGATTGGTGGATCTGGAAGTGAGGGCAGCGGCGTAGCCGAACGCAGGTGGGTAGGAGACTCTGTGTGAGCTTGCTTCCCTTGGCCGGCGGCTCGTACTAGTACCTTTTGTTCTTTGCCTTGGGCATGCAGGCGCTCGATGGTCTTCGTAAGGTGTTGTGCGGTCCATTGGTGTTTCCTCGGAATGCGGCTTCTACGATTGGTCCGACACTGGTCCATGCGGTGTCGCGTCTCTGTTACGGCTTCGAGTGCCTGCTCCAGCGTGTATTCGCCATACTCTGCCCACGCCACTATTTGCCTCATGAATGGTCGCGAATTCAGCATATCCGCCGAGAAGACCTGCTTGAACTGCGCTGTTGACAGCCTCCATTTCGACTCGGCAAGCTTCTTTCCCAAGCCTTTGAACTCGCCCCAGCCATCGCTATTCTCGTCATTGCCGCCGTTACCGCCGTCTACTGTCGTGTGTCGTTTCTCAGAAGCTACTTTTTCTATATTCACGCCCTTCCCCTCTTCGTCTTCCGTGGCGGCGTTTTGCCCGCGGCCACGAGCTGCTGATGTACGCGCACGGGTTTTCCTGCCCGAAGCGCTGGCCATAATCGAAAGCGTCGGATGCTTAGGTGCCGATCGAAGCCGAGCCATGCGGAGGCGTGAGTGTGGAGTTGACACATTCACGACGGACGCGTCGCGTTCTGAGGAGCGAGATGGCTTGGCGCGGCGCCCGGAAATTAACGGCCTCCGGCAAGTGCGACCGACGCATGCTATTTTCCGCAGCCGGTAATGTCCGGGATATCATCGCGGCCGAGCCGGGCTTAACCGGCTGCGATGCGCCCTCGTGAAATGACTTTGCGCTTCCAGTGATGATAAGGGCAACGCCCACTATTGTCTGGTTCGCCGTCTTGTCCAAAATGATCACCTCCATCGAATTAGAGGTCCTACAACGGCTGTTCCCATAGCCAGTACTGAAATGTTATCGCACACCTCTTAAAAAACAGGGCGAGCATCAGCAAAGAAGGTGGTGACGATGATTCACACATATTGGGATCCGGGTTCAGTCAAGACCCAGCCCGCTGTATGCAAAGAAATCGTTCCTTTTCTCCTATTGAACGATTTGAAAACTAGATGTAGACCAAAGTGCAAATAGAGGGCTCTAAACAAGATGCGAAAACGAAAGAGGGGAAACGTATTCATAGAGTTATCGTTTATGCACCACTCGTGTCATCCCCTTCGAGACCACCTCTCGAGTGCTGTCAGTCCCTGTAGTGGCGTGACGGCTGGTTGGAGAAGGGATTGATTTGCTTAGAGAAGGATTGAGCTCTCAGTCTTTGGTTGCGATCAGCCTTCCAGTAGCCAGAGCAAATGCTGCTGTCGCTTTGATCGCGCGCATGTCTGCACGCCACTTTTCCGGCGGCCCGTCTACATACTTACCATCGGGCCCTTTCGTGCCCGACCATCCGCCTAGCATGAACGCAAGATCTCCAAAAAATCTGTTTCTCAAGTCTACCTGCATTTTAACCCTGAGATTCATTCAGCGTGGACATTCCAAGAGAAGTGCTTGACTGTTTCCCTCTCTGCTCCGCAGTCGCATGCGGGTGCTTCTGCTCGCTTGATTTTGTGTTTCGGCTCGTTCAGGCTCGCTTTCGACGTCCTCAACTGTGCGATCACTGCTGCTTCTTTATAGTTTAGCTGATCATAGAGCTTCTTGGTGTGAAAGTGCGCCAACGCGCGGTCAAGCTTGCGGATGGACTCGCCAACCTTGGAAGCTTCGAACGTTTTCTTCCAGAGTCTCGTGGTGATTTCTTTGCACCGTGCCATGGCTGAAGACCGTAACATATTTTCTAAGGGCGGTTCTCGGTTGCTCTTCGTACCTTGCAGTGCCAAGCTATGCGCCCTCTCGTTGCCGTTAACACCTTGCTGCGCAGGCACCCACGTGAATTCGACTGCCGGGGCTCTGCGGCGCAGCGGTAGTTCGCTTGATTAGAGCAAAAGGCTTCAAGACCCTCAGGCAAGAAACTGTGGAGCGGAGCAAAAATGCGCCAGGAGTAATGGCAGAACTACAAGAAATAGTGTTCGCGCTAGGATGGCTAGTCCAACGCCCTCGGCAGACGGATGCTCCAATTCCAGGCCGCATAGTGCACACTTTCTGGGTGGTCACGAACAGCAAAAAGGGACCAGCGCGTCTAGAAATATCGCAAGCCAGTTTTTCGGGGCAACACCTAGTCAAGAGAGCACGGGAGCTTATCGTCAGGATTAAAGTCAAAGGAGCGACGTTTAGGTTTATGTGGGTGCCAGCCCACAGCGGAGTCGCAGGGAATGAAGCGGCACACCGAGCGGCCCAGGAAACACTTCTTCCAGGCCTGCGGCCATCGGTCGAGTGGCGCACCAGAAGGCGAGCAAGGGAAGCTGTTGAAGTACAAGTGGGACAGAGTCTGCTCCAGGAGCGAGAGGAGTTAACGGTAAAACTAAGTCCATGGGGGAAATACAGGCGCAAGCTGGACGGGGCGTTCCCGGGGCAACACACACTGCGGCTGTACAACAGGCTCGATTCAGAGCGTGCAGCTATACTCATCCAGTGCAGAACAAACCATAGCTTCCCCCGGTTGTTCCTTGTCCATCTGCAGAAGGAGGAGTCTGGACAGTGCGAGTGTGGACAGGGCACAGAGACAGTGCGACACATTCTTTTGGTATGCCTGATGTGGCAACAAGCACGCACAGAGCTCGTACTTGTAGTAGGGGAAAGATAGGGTGATGTTTCATTCATGCTTGGGAGGTGGAATAGGAGGTAGGATTGGCGGAATTGGCAGCCAGTCGATGGGCTAAAGGAGCGATAGAAGCCGGATTTGCGGGTAGTCAAGGCGGTTATTCAGCTCCTGAAATCAAATGCACGGCTGTCCAGCCGGGATAGAACTGGTGGGGCGATACAGCCGCCGCACGATCACTAAACGGAAGCGGGCTGAGGAGTGAGGCAAGGCAAAAGAGGGCGAATGATGCGCTAAAGTACGGATGGCTCTTATGTCTCCACAGAAGAAACCGTAACTTGAATAGGCCAATCTAATCCAATCCACATATCTTAGGAGTTGAAGACGAAAATTAAGAGGAAAGGCTGAGGGTACTCCGAGACGCGTGCAGGCTGTTCGAGTGGACAGACTGGCAGAGGCACGCGGAAGACAGCTTTTCCAGGCGTTGAGTAGGCTAGAGGGCGACTAGGGGGCGGATAAGGAGCAGATTGATTCGTTGCTTTAGCTGTCGAGCTCGTTCATCTTCGAGAAGGTCGGCGATCAGCCGTTTAGCAACGAGCCGATTCACTTTCTAGCGGTGCTTGGCATTAGCCAAGAAACGGGCCGCTGCGTCGGGCGAAGGGCTACTCGTACATGCTGGCTGGGATCGTGTACTGTGTGTGGGTGCTGGGCATTGAGGAGCTGCTGCCGTCGGCGGAGCGGCAGGAGTAAGGAGACGCTGAGAGGGGGCGCCTCTTGAAGTTGCAGAAGAGCTATCTGGTGGATGGGTGGTACGGTCCGATGAGTACGATGGTAAGCTTCTCTGGATGCGCCTTCTTTGTTTTACCTACCGGACTAGCCGGACGAACCACGGATTGCAGCTGCGCCATTGACTGACCGCCGCGTAACTTAGTAAGTCGGACCATGCCATATGTGTTACGCGAAGTCTATCAAAGCTGCCTACTTCACCTACTACAGCCTCTCTTACCACTACTGACCCTTCTGCGAGAATTGGAAGAGAACCCGGGAATATCTAGAGTCGTAGCTCGATAGCGCTTGCCTTGCGAATCGCGTACCCCTACTAGACAATCAGCTTTGAAGAAGCCCCTTTGAAAGCGTCATTGTCGGCTTTCTTGCAGCGAGTAGATGCAAAGAGGATGGAAGCGCCAGCACGAAAGCAGGAACCGTGTGGAGTTTATTCGAGGACTCAAGTCAATTTGACGACCGTAAATATTATAGCAGATCGGATCTTTGATCTAAAATGTAGCAGTTAGGCAAGCCTTCTATCCAGTAGCCGTCTTCGGATCGATTCCCTTGCGCGCTCGCAAACAAAAGCGTGTTGTTGCAAGAATCGACTGGGATCAAGTACAGGCGGCGTGGAAGATTCATGAAGGACGTAACTATATACTGTGTTCTCGTAATGAGTGTAGCAGATAAGGTCCTCGTCTAGAGTACGCCAGTTCGGTTTCGTTGGTTCAAGGATGAGTCGGCCGCCGGGTTGAGCGTTATCCTCCAGACAGCGGAGCTTGATGCGCTCCAGCTGTAATGTCTGCGACATATCTTTCAGGACCGATTCCCAGAGTCTACCATCGGGTATCAGGGCAACGGAGTTGAGCTCAAGATCACGGAGTGTGGGGCTAAGTGTCTTGAGAAAGAGAAGGAGATCGTCGCCACGCGTGAGAAGCGAGAGCTGCAGCTTTCGCAGAGCAGGAAAGCATTGACCCTGACCCAACGAGCGAAGCAGCGAGCTAGCAGCATCGCCGGGTTGACTTCTCCAGTCAGGATACGACATGTTTGGTGCGTCTTCGAGCCAACCGTCCATGCGAAATATGAGCGAGATGCGTTCAAGGCAGTCGGCACGCCTCAAGAAGTAGAAGAGCTGTCGAGCGGCGGCAGACACATCCTCCTCATGATCAGCACATTTGACATGGAGAAAGAGGGTGGCTAGATGCGTAAAGGCATGCTCCATATTCATGAGCTCCCTCGTTAGGTTTTCCTGATGACGGAGCGCCCCGTACCAGCTCCCAGCACGGTCGACCCAGCGGTCAATGTTCATATCTAGCTCATCACCCATCCAAACTAAGTGATCTTCCTGCTCCCACGCGCTGTGGAGTGGATCCCAAAGACGGCCGAGGTTGACGGCGCCCCAGAAGGCCCCCTCCGCCACGTAGATATCGAGACTACGGAGGCTCTTGTTACGCTGTTCAGCAAGCCCTAGTGCGCGGAGGGCGAGAGAAAGCTGTAAGTTTTCTACCCTCTCAGCCTCTCTATCGGTAGAGTAAAGGATGAGCCGCGTAGTGTGGAAGCGCAGGCGCTGCCAGCGCGCCCCCCAGTTTCCATCGGTCAGGTAGGCCGGGTCGTGCTCGAAACGTCGAAGCTGCGGAAGCCTCAATATTGCTTCGTCAAGGCGGTCCGGGAGCGACAGATCCAGCTCTTCGTTTGTTGCGCGCGCATGCGATGGCTCTCGGACCGGCAAAGCTCCCAGAGGCCGGTAGGAGACGCCGCGTAGAAGCTGCTGTGCATGTTCTCTTAGAGAAATACGGTCACGCTCGTACTGATCGAAAAGGCGGCAACGATCGTCGTTTGAAAGGTGAGACCATTCCTCTGCGGACATGATGTCGTCCTCATCTGAATCCGAGCGGTTCTCGTCGGAACCAGCGTTGCTCAGACGATCCTCGAATTCGGGTGATCGGGAAGGTTCGTGTATCACACAACGTTCCCAAGATTCGAAACCATCAAAGAAATGGTTCAGGCCGTATGTTCGCCTCAAAACCAGAGTGTGTACATGCGGAATCAATGAGTCACTGGCGGCAATAGCCGTCAGATGGTCAATTCCGCCTTCGTCTAGATTGAAAGCTACAGTCTCGAAAAGACGCGGTGTCGCGAGACGGCTGAGCTCAGTATCTACTAGACGCAGTTGTTTCTTGCTAGCTGGGTCGAGGTAAACCATCACCATGTTCCAAAGCTCCGCAGGCAATCGTGGAGCCATGACGCATATAGGATGGGGTAGAAGCAACACGACTTGGTCCGTAGGAGTCCGCTCAGCGTTGAGAGTCAGCGCCGTCGCGCGTTGTGTGTTGCGCTCAAAGACAACCGAGATGAGCGGTATCACGAAGGTTAGCGACGAAATTTTGCAGAGTTGGCTACGGTGGTAGAACTGATCGCGGGTGAATGTTTCGCCGGTACGCTAAGCTACTCTTAACTATAGGCACTTGAAATACATCTACATTTTGATGAGGCATATCCATGAGCACTTGAAGACCTTCGGTTGCGTTCGTCACACGTGTAAGGAGGGCCCAGACGCCAACGACGCCATCTGGAGAAAATGCGATTGAGAATACCAATGACAGGGCACTGAAAACGTCGAGTTATGTTCTTCTACAAGCAGATTATCGATTTAACAAACTGCTATAATAAACACGTACTTGGCCACCTATACGACAACTCTTTATCTATTCCGTCGCAAGTTGCAGTTAACAGGCTGGAAAGCAGCACCATGCAGGGTGTGTTTGATAGAAATTGGCTGTGGCAAGAAACCCTCAACTACCACCAGACAAGAGCCAACACAACGCAGGGGTCCAGGTGGATATAATACCAAGCATGGACTTCTACAGGTAGTCACAGGCCCATCAAGAACGCTGTTTTCTTTTTTAGTCCCAACGATATACGCTGGTGGTTGTGCTACACCATAACAATCCCCCGGCCGCGCCGTTTCTCGCCTGCGCCCGCCGCAATTGCCAGTCTGGGCCCCAGCCCATCCAGCCCCTCATGCTATGGAAGCTCCGCAGCCCACTTTACCGCCTCCCGTGCCATCGGTTGCCACACCAGACTGACCTGTACCTGGCCGTCGCGTCAGACTCATCCATTCAAGCGCGTCCAAAGCTCCGCCGCGCAATGCTGGGCGACTACTGCCACCACGCTCATCGCATACGCCCGTCTGAAGATAAGACAAGGACGGCGTATGCACTGAGACAGGGTACCATACGAGGGTGCGTCCTCGAACAGACCATAGGATGTGTGCTCCAACAAATCCCGCTCGCGAAGCTGCACGAAACGCACCTAGCTTCCTCCCTCAAACCTGACGACGTGGTTTCCAAGCCGGCCTGTGCAAGACGATGTGAGTGCGTAGTCTTTTCAATCGAGATATAGGTACTGCAGCACTACACATTTCCATGACACAGTGGAACGGTGTTCTTTGGTCACATGACCAGACTACCCAGCTCCTGTCGTGCAGGAGGAGACAGCCCATCGTTTGGAGAAAAGGGATCGCCTCTCTCGCCGATACTATTTCTATTCTTCGTCGTGGACTTGGTGCAGTCTGTCACCAATAAGAACAAAGGAGCCATCGCGTTTATCGACGACTACAGCGCCTGGGTCACTGGATCGTCAGCAAGCGAAAATGTGGCGAAGCTTCAAAGAACGGTCGTAGCTCGGGCCGAAGAGTGGGAGGCGACGAGCGGCACGACGTTCGAAGCAGAGAAGACGGCGCTCATTCACTTCACGCGGAACGAGCAGAGGTGGTCCGATTAGCCGATAGTGATCAAGGAAAAGTAAGTGCACCCAAGGACAGAAGCAAAGGTACTAGGCGTTGTGTTCCACCAAGAACTCCGGTTCAAGGCTCATGCAGGTAAGATTGCGAAGAGGGCGTCCGGGCAGCCCTGGCGTTGAAGAGACTACAAGGCCTCCGACTGAGCAGCGTGCGCAAGCTCTTCGCGGCTACAGTAGCCCCGACGATCACCTATGCCGCCCCAGTGTGGGCGCCAGCTACAACAGCACCGCTAATGAAATCACTAGAGGCAGTGCAGATGATTGCCGGTAGAGTGATCACCGGGGCATTCAGGACGGTAGCGCTGCCTATCCTCGAAGCCGAAGCAGCGATTCTGCCGGTCGGGATCCGCCTCAACCAGCAACTACTTCGCTTCTGGGTCAACTGCGACACTCTACCACAGAGACACGCTTCCTGGAAGCTGAAGCGCGCAATCGACCCGGCCAACAAGAGGTTCGTGTCCCCGCTGCAGCGGATAATGCTGATGGCTAGAGAAATCGACGTCGAGCACCTCGAAACGATCCACCCGTTTGTGACAATGCCCTGGGCCAGCAGACCGGCCGTTCAGATTGAGTCCCTAGAAGCAGCGAAGCGTCGGGCCAGCTCTTTGCCAGAGCCAGAGGTCGCCATCTTCGCACAAGGCTTGCAACGGAGGGGAAAGGCTGGCAGTGGCATCTCGCGCGTGGACGGCAGGGGCACAACAATAGTCGCTCACTCGTTTACGGTCGGCAAGTCCGACTCAGTAGACGCCTTATTCGCAGAGCTGCAGGCAATTCACCAAGCTGTAGAACTAATACGCGGCACGTGGTCAACCGAGATGGTGGCTAGATTTCCTGAAGCGGCCAAGGTAAAACACGTCATCTACAGCGACAACAAGACTGCCCTCCGTCTCCTCCATAAGCCGCGCCAAATGCCGCGCCAGGAAACCGTCAGAAGCGTTTTGCAGTCACTAGACTAGATCAAATGCAACAGGGGCCGTGTCTGCTTGAACCATCGGTGTAGACGGTATCGGCGAACCTTATAGCCCGCGCCTGAGCGATAGCGCCGTCCCGATCGGTGATGATAATATGAGGCCGGATATCGCGCTCCCACGGTGGGAGAGTCCAAGGTATGATGGTCTCAATGGGCGCACTCTTTTCCGGAGCGATGAGGCTCCCGTAGAGATCCCATGCCTTTCTTAGCGGAGAGGGATAACCTCACTCTGTTCGGGAAAATCTCTAATGCAGTCCGCAGCCGGGTTGTTGGGGGGTAGTGTGTGCAGCCTTACTAAGTGTTTCGACACTTTTGCACGCAAGCGAAGATCGATCGGCATCAGGCATGCCTCTCCTTCGGCGACTAGCAGGGCGATAGTGCGGAAAGTGCCTGTGATGGCCTGCGCCCCCAAACGCTGGACTCTCTCCAGGTGCCGCACCAGTTTTCCCACTCCCAGTCTTCCTAGCCCGTACCACGTCGATGCGGCGTAGTCGGTAATAGGGGTAACGGTGGCCTGGTATAGTTGTCTCATTCTCCTTGGGCTGACGCCTCTAAGCCCATTGGTCGCTAGGCACTGGATAGTTCCCTTGCTCATAGCTTTATTGCTACAATGTTATACACCCTGGCCCTTGCTCTAGTAGACTCCCTATCAATGCATTGTACCTCAATAATTGAACTCTTTATCATACAAAAAGAAAGGTACGCAAGTTTTCGTTTACAAAGCATTTCGTATTCAAATGAGATTCAGCAGCAATACCCAGACTTAATCTGTGCAAGAAGGATAAAAAGAAAAAAAAAGACAGGGGTATAAAAATAATTGCCAGCGGAGGAATAAAACTCAGCGTGAGCTCCTTCGAGCCAGAACCCATCTCACACCAATAACAAATTCTTCTCGAGCCAAGGTCTGTATGTATCCTTTGCCCATCCCGCCAATCGCCTCAACGAAGCCGCGAGCTGATAGACGCCAAGAACCGACCTAGTGGTCCCTAGACTCAAATGCCGGAATATCCTGATCTCTGAGTCATCTTCGAGCTCAGCGAGCATTAGCTTCCACTCGTGGCCTTGCACAATTATCAAGGGCAACGTTGGGAGCGCAGAGCCTCCATTGCTGAGCCGCTGCAGCCAGCGAAAGTGTGCAGACACCCACACGGCAAGTTGCGCATTGGCCACGTCTTCCTCGATGGCTGCGCGCTTGGTCTCAATACTAACTGCGATAGGCGAGAATTGTACGTGCTCAGCAGGAGTGTGGTTGATAGAAGAAAGCTCCTCTTGGCGGAGCTTTGCGCGGACAATTTTTGCAAGGTCCTTGTCTGACCTGGTGTCGAGGACAACGGCAAAGTCAACCATCTTTGACTGTGCCGCCAGGCCTGCGGCAGAGCTGGGCAGTAGCGACTGATCCTTGATTTGTGCCGTGGTGACGTTGCGGTACCACACTGCCCTCTCGCTACGACCACGTTCGAGGGCGAGCCGTAGCGCACGTGAGTGAACTTCGTTGTTCCAGTCTGCCTCGCACAGATCATCCTCCTCACACTCGTTGGCAGCATCCATCAGACTGTTCGCTGCAGCCCAGAAGCCCTCGTGCTCGGCGCGTTGTTGCTCGCTGTTATCGCTGTCGTCGAAATTCAGATCGTCGAGCAGGTCGTCGTCCAGAAGAGCAGCAGCGCGACCCTTGACTACACTCGGGATCAGTCCGTTGCCCCGACCCACGCGCCGAATGTCCCTGCACAGCTCCCTCACGTCCGCGGGCGCCTGGCCCGGCTTCTCAAGCGTCACCGCGTGCACGTGTACATTCGACAGCTGGAGGTCGCCTAGGCGGCGCACTGGACTGCGAAGACGCCGGCTACTGGTGCAGCTGGCCCAGCTCGTGGTCGAAGATCGGCTCGGAGAGGGCGAACGCGTGGTGGCGGGGTCCGAGGCAGCGGCCGCTGGAGGCACGCCGGAGG